ACACACGCACACACACTTTCAGAATGGGTTCTCTCTCCTTCCACCTTGGGTTCCTGGCATCAAAATCAAGTCACCAGGCTTATGCAACAAGCAACTTTACCTATTGAGCCATCTTGCCAGACCAAGGCTCACATTTTCTAAAGATATTATGTTTATACAATTTCTATATTCAAATTTCCCTAAAACTAAATACCTTGAAGAAATTTATTCTTTAAAGCAAACACACAAAATTCAATTGCAATGTATGTTGTGTCCCAATAACTCAAGCCTTCTTAGAGAAATACTTTAGAAAATGAAGTCAGTATCTATCCTTTAGTATGTATATACATAGCTTATTCTGATTTATTCTGGCTTTTCCTAATGTAAAAAAAAAAAAACAATCCTAGAAATGAAATTCCTCCTCCTGTGTATTCTATTCTGTAAATTATTTCTAAAAAGTTGATAAGAATATAAGGCAAAAATAACCCAATCCACTGTAAGAAACAAATATTTAAGATCCTTACATTCACTACAAAAAATCATGAGCAAAAACCCATTTCTTAAGACTGAGCCTAATTGCACATCTCTGTTACTCTCCAGACACACACAGAAACCTAACATCGGAACACTGCCAGGCTGTTCATGTGAACTGTACAAGAATCACTTTCAGTCTGCTGGAATTGGGTTCATGAATGTGTCTAGTCCAGTTGCTCTCTAATTTTCCCCTGGTGGTAAAACATGCAGATGCACAAAACCTATTCCTAGAGAGTAGAGTTCTTAGAAAACTTTTAAGACTACCAGGCTTAACTTCAAAAACTAAGAAAAAGGGGTTGAGTAAAATGTAGCTCGGTGGTGAAGCATTTGCCTAACCATGTGCAAGAAGGTCCTGGGTTCGATCCCCAGCAATGAAAGAAAAAAAAAAAAAAAAAAAAAACACTGAGAAAAGATATGTACATGTCCAATAATCTCATGAAGAGATGGTCAACGTCAATAAGCATGAGGTAAATACAAATCAAAACCCCAGTGATAAAACACTTCATGCCCCTTATAATGGCTGTTATAAGGGAACAGGGGACCACTGGTGACAGTGTTGAGAAGTTAGAATTCTTACACAGTGCTGATGGAAATGCAGCTTCTACAGATAACTGCATGGCAATCCCTCAAAAAATTAAACACATAATCCAGTAATTCGATTTCTGGGTATATACCCAAAAGAAAGGAAAGCAGGGTCTCCCAATAGATAGCTGCACACTCATGTTTGCATTATTCATAACAGCTAAAACGAATAAATGAATAAACAGTATGTGCGCTATATATGTACTGAAATATCACTCAGCCTTTAAAAACAGCAAAATTCTGACAAATTCTACAACACAGATGAACCTCAAAGACATTATGTTGAGTAAAATAATCCAGTCACAAAAGGACAAATATTGCATGACTCCACTTAACCTAGGCCTCAGAACAGAGAACTTCAAAGAAACATGAGGAGGAATGGTAGTTGCCAGGGGCTGCGAGTTAGGAGAACAGAGCTGAGAGCATGAAGGGGTGCTGGATGGATGGTTCTGATAGATACACAACAATGAGAATGTACTTCATGCCACCGAATTATAACCTTAGAAATAGTTAATGGGGCATTTTAGGTCCATTTTAATCACGATTTAAAGAGAGGATAAAATAAACATGTCCAAATTCTTCTCTTTCCCTACCAAAAACCCAGTAGTCTACCTTGGAATACTCAATTTATCATGAGCCTTAAGAAATGAATGTAGGGCATGTTGGCACAGGCCTTTAATCCCAGCACTTGGGAGGCAGAGGCAAGCAGATCTCTGTGGGTTCCAGGCCAGCCTGGTCTACCTAGCAAGTTCCAGGTTAGCTGGGGCTATAGGGAGACCCTGTCTCAAAAAGACCAAAAAGAAAGGAAAAAAAAAAAAGAATGTAGGGGCTGGGCTCAGAGGTCAAGAGCTGCTCTCAAAGAAGACCTGAGTTCTGTTCCAAGCACCCACATGGCACCTCACAACTGTCTATAATTCCAGATTCAGGAGCTCTGATACCCTCTTCTGGCTTCTATAGGCACTGTATGCATGTGGTGCACATACATACATACATGTAGGCAAAAACACTCATACACATAAAACAAAAACAAATGTTTTTTAAAAAAAAGAAATGAATGTAGTGGTTAAACTATAAATGCCTTCTAACCCTAAAGACGTTGAATCTGGGCTTCCTAGGAATAAAGTCCTTCCCTCGATATAGATGTTAATAGCTACACATGTCTACTTCAGATAAAATGACTTTTTTAATATTTTTATTTATTTTTATTATATGTACGAGTGTATTGCTTACATGCGTCCAAGTGCACCCATACCATTCAATGCCCCCGGAGGTCAGAAGAGGGCATCAGATCCCCTAGAACTGCAGCTGCAGACAGTTAGCCACCACATGGGTGCTAGGATTTGAACATGGGTCCTCTGCAAGAGCAGCCAGGGCTTTTATGACTCAGTCATCTCTCCAGCCCCAAATAAAATGACTTCTAAGGAACCCAGTGTGTCTCCTGACTTTGCATTTCAAGCATGGTTGGCTTAATGACCTCGAATTTTTCCTTCATTTTTTCTTCTTAAGACAGCATACAAACTATTTTCACTTTTGTTAGCAAAATTTTAAGTCAAAAAATAACTTTACTAATAAGTAGATATATCATCTTTTTTCTTTTTCTTATTACAATGCTGAGGATCAAACCCAAGGTCTCAGGCTTGTTAGGCAAGTGCTCCATCACTGGGTACTGGGTCCTAACCCCAATTGTATCATTTTTATAGAAATCAGTATTCATTTAGTTTCCACCAGTTTCAAGTACAAATATCAGAATCTTATTTATGAATTTTCTCTAAAGAAAAAAAAATCATCTCAGCCAGGTGTGGTGGTGCACTCAATGAATCCCAGCACTTGGGAGGCAGGTGGATCTCTGTGAGATCAAGGCCAGAGTGGTCTACAAAGTGAGTTCCAGGTCAGCTGGGGCTACAGGGAGATGCTGTATCAAAAAAATAAAAGAAAAGAAGGAGGGAGGGAGGGAGGGAGGAAGGGAAAGAAGAAGGGAAAGGAAGGGAAAGAAAAGAGAAAAAAAAGAAAAGAGCGTCTCCACAGTAAAGCTAGACATGTGTGGAGCTACCCTAAGCTAACCTTTCAGAATTTTTTCAGTATCATTCCAGTTTTTCTTATAATACCTCTAATTCCACATAAACTGCTACAAAAATAAGTATGCATTTTAGGCCAAATGAGAGGGCACACACTTGTAATCCTAACACTTGGGAGAGGCAGGATAATTATTGATATTCAAAGCCAGCCTAGTCTACATTGTGAGTTCCAGACCAGCCAGGGCTACATAGCAAGACCCTGTCTCAAAAAATAGAAAAAAGAGGGAGAAGGACAGAAAGAGGAAAGAGAGGGAGGCAATCAGGGAAAAAAGAAAAAGGAATGAAGTATGCATTAACGAACTAGTAAGCCAGGTTGCCTAGTCTCCTCTGAGTTACTAAAGTCTATTATATTGTTCTGTCTCCTTCCTCATCACCCTTAAATATTTAGCAGACAAAATTTCATCTTCAAGAATATTGTGATACTTTCCACGTTATACCAGCTATTGATCTGATACATTTCAAGTAATTCCTGTTTACCAACATGAAGCAAACAATGAAAATTAAAAGGAACAAAGAGTTATCTACATACTAAAACAAAAACTGAAGACTATAATTCAGAAAGGGGGGAAAAAAAAAAAACTGTTCTCATATTAAAAACTTGCTCTCTTAGACAGGCTGGCAGTGCATACCTCTAACCCCAGAACTTGAGAAGCAGTGGCCAAATCAAATGGTTATCAGCTCAAAGCTTGTCTCAGCCAGAGAGAGTTTAAGGCCAGTCTTAGCAACAGAAAACCATCTCAAAAATCAACAACAAATCCTTCCTCAAAATACTTTGAAAAGTAAAATATTATGCAAGCATGATCATTATATACTTTTGTTTATTATCTGAAAATAAGAGTGATGTCATCAGCAGAGCATGATGGCGCACGCCTTTAATCCCAGCACTTGGGGGGCAGAGGCCAGCAGATCTCTGTGAGTTTGAGGCCAGCCTGGTCTACATAGCGAGTTCCAGGACAGCTGGGGCTACAGGGAGACCCTGTCTCAAAAACACCAAAAAAATAATAATAATAATAATAAAGTACATCAATTATGAACTCTATTTTCTTGATTTTTAAAACAGAATTGTTTCAAACTCCACTTCCTTTATGCAAGTTAGGCGTAGTGCCTCCTTTACTGGGGTCTACTTCCTGACTGAGACAGTGCAATTAGTGCTATTACTAAGCATATAAAAAATAAAAGAGCACTGATAGGGCCAGCAAGACCTTTTAGTAGGTCCAGGAGCTTGCCGCCAAACCAGACCTCCTGGACTCCATCTAAAAAACCCACAGGTTGGAAGAAAAGAACCAACTCCCACAAGTTGTACTCTGACCTCCAGATGTGTGCCATGGTACACCCATGTGGATGAGTGCACGCACAAACACACACACACACACACACACACACAAACATGCTTTTTTAAAAGTTTTGGGTGTGGTGGCGCAGACCTCTAGTCCCAGTACTCGGGAGGCAGAGGCAGGCAGATGTCTGTAAGTTCAAAGCCAGCCTGGTGTACATAGGGAGTTCCAGGCCAGCTGGGGCTACAGGAAGATCCTGTCTCAAAAAAACAATAAAATAAAAACAAAAAAAAACAGACATTTCTGCTACCTGCTACTTAGTTTCCAGCCTAGAAATTCACCTGATAAGTCTCCTTACTTGCCCACAGCTATTTAGAGGAGCCCTTTAAAAAAAGAGAATGGGTCACACACCAGAACGTCTGTGTGTATATGAAACCTCTTAGCCCTTCAAGCTGTAACACACAATATTAACAGACACAAAATTCTATGAAAAGTAAATTATATACAGATACAGAAGATTCACTGAAAAAAAACTGTCACCTGATCATAGCCTTACCTTTTAGCAGCGGCAGAGGTGTTAACTCAATAGGCTTGCCTTGAGACCTAAACTGTGAGGAACTCTGCGACCTCTTCTGTCTGGCTTTTCTGACGGACTTCCGAGAAAATCCGTCTACTTTATCCACTGATGGAGGAGTTGTTGGTGCTGAGGACATATCCCTACTAAAAAGAAAGAGGTGACATTAACACAGTCCTAAAGTGGAAGCATTCATGTGAGTTACACAATTTCTAAAATTCCCACATACAATATCCATGAAATGTGAGTGTGTACCAAAGAAAGGGAATAAAATTAAGTCTTGTAAATGGGAAAAATAAAAAGTAATATTACTACCATGTAAACAATATCATAGCTCTAACATTACATTGCTCCATTATAAGCATTAAAAAAATGTTCACCTAAGCCTGCTGCGGTGGTACATGCCTTTAGTTCCAGCACTCAGAAGGCAGAGGCAGGCAGATCTCTTGTGAGATTGAGGCCAGTCTGATCTACCATAGCAAGTTCCAGTCCAGCTGGGGCTACAAGAGACCATGTCTCAAATAAATATATCAATAAATAAATAATTAATTAATTAATAATAAATAAATAAAAATTGCTCACATAGACTTCAATTCTCTATACTGTCTGCCATTTTAATTGCAAAAGTCTTCTCATCTTGTGATTCCCGAAGTGACTTCGGACCTATTCTGAAGCTGGAAAACGTCCATTTTTCCAATATATTAATATTATGAATGGGCTGAAACCCTTTCTGTACTTTAAGATTCTACACAAATGAAGCCAGGAGTGGTGGCAGAAGCCAGTAATCCCAAGCACTCAAGAGGCTGGGGCAGGAGGATTATGAGTTCCAAACCAGCCTCAGCTGTGAGTTTGAGGCCAGCCTGGGAGATCCTGTCTCAAAAAAAAAGCCATCAGTGTATCACAGAGAGGTGAGATGTACGATTTCTGAAACTACCTAAGCGTGAGACTTCAATGCAATGTGCCGTGTTTGCGGTGATAAGCCATCATACTGCAAATAAGGGCAGGCTAGACTGCTTAAACACACAAAAGGCATAATTAAAATCATTTCAAAGAAGTCATCTTCTTTTTGAATGAAGCCATCTTAAGTTATTAAAGTTTAATTAACAAAACTATGATGAAACTGAGCACCAGGCTGAACTGAAAGCCTAACTTCACAGCCTGCTGGGACAACTAAATTGAGTTCCCTTCAAGTTTAGACCTTGGAGTTCAATTACTAAGTTGTATTCCATCAAACTGATGGAACCAAACACTTTTTTTTAACCCTACAAATAATTCAAAGAAAGGCTAGTTCCTAAAAGTCACAAGCATCAATTTCATTCACCAACTTAAACAGATGCCATCATTCGGTAGAACTGAGGCTCCATGCAAGATTAATGACAGCCAGTATAGAAGATCACACACCGGAGTGGAGTGTGAAATGCAATTGCCCACCTGTCGTTCCAACACATAAGACAAGTGTTTCTGAACTTCCCCAAAAGAGTAAGGAAGTTTCCTCCCAACTGTGTAAAACTAAACAGTCAACTGGATTACCTGAATTCTAAATTAAAAATAACAAAAACATGGGGGAGGGCACAATGTTAAGTTTCGGTTTGGAATTAAGAGACCTGGTTTTTTTTAATGAAAAGTTTTTTTTAATGTGTGACAGATACAAAATGGATTTGTAAATTATAACGTAGAAAATGTGTGGTCACTTTAAAACACAATGACTGCATCAGCAAGAAGCTCCACATCACATTCGTATGTTGTGGATTTAGGAGAGGATCGTGCAATCTCGGTATGTGAACTATTTAGGTTTCATTCTGACTCTAACGATACAAGATTTCTGTAAATCTCGTTCTTCCATCACTCTCTGTCTCTTATTTCACATCTTCCATCTCTAACGGAGATCTATAGGTAGCTTTTTTCTGCTTTAATCATTTGTCCCTTATGCGCGAAGTTCTTAATAAATGTCAAGGATCTCAACTCTAAAGCACTGCAGAACTGATGTTAACAGCGGGGTCCCTGCAAAGCCCAGGCAAACAGGTTTCACCTGGCCCGCGGTGCCCGAAGCTTTAGCGTTCTCTCAAGAGCCGGCACCCGGGCATTTCCAAGGAGAAGGAGGGGACCAGGGAAGTGGCCTGTTTTTGTTATGCTCACATCCAAAGAGCCCTGGAGAAGCTACACGGCCACAGAATCGTCTCCACTACACCAAACCCCCTTCTCCCCGCCCCCGCCAATGGATAAAGGGGGACAAGAAAAAGCCTTCAACCCCAGAAGGGGCAGAAAAGGAGGAGAAGGAGGCAAGGCAGAAGAGAGGCGGCGACATCGAAAGCATCTGCAGGTAAATCAGACAAGTGGGACCGGCGCTCGCCGGCGCACACCCCACCCCGCCGCACCCCTCGCCCGCCTGGGCCCGGCCTTCCCGAGCCCGCTGCCCTGCAGGTTCCCGGGAGGAGAGCCAGGGGCCGGAGGGACCAAGTTACCTTGAAGCTCCTGGGGAAGAATCCGAAGACGATGTGTGGCTGCG